AAAGAAAAGAAAGAAAAATAATAATGATAATAAATAAAAAAAGAGAGCGATGGTGGAAAGGGAGGGGCTGAGCAAACAAGCGGGAGTGACAGTGAGCGGGCAAAAGGACGAACGCGGCAAACGCCAAAAAAGCAAAACAAAGAAAAAAGCAAAGAAAGAGGGCACAACGAAAATGGACAGTGCCCCATATGCATTTCCAGCGGAGCAAACGTCCAACCGTCATAGAAGCAAATGCAGCAAAGGGGCATTAAGAGCGGGAGTGGGATGTTTAGCAAAGATAAAAAAAGCAAAGGAGTGAAAAACAAAAAAGGTCCTTAAACCACAGTTAAAGCGTGTAGGTCTCATACAGCAATTTGTTGTGCGTGGGTGTGTTTTTTTTTTGATTGTGCCTCAGAAAAAGGAGTGACAAGCCTCCACGACATCATCGTGGAACTTCTTCTCGGACTCCGAGTTGGCCTGAAGATGGGACAAGTTCCCCACATCCCACACTTCGCGGCCATCGGCACAGGTGTAAGTGATGTCAAACCCTTTTTTATTTTCCCTCGCAAACATGTTTAGCGGCACCAATGCGGGATCGCTGCGCCAGACTGCAACGAGCATGCCCAGCTCGTCTTGCTCCTTGAAGGACTGAACAAAGGCGTCGCGCCCCATCTGAAAAAAGGGAATCGGTGACTGTGACATCTGTAGGAAACGGCGCAGGACGGCATTGTCCATTCGGAGCACAAAAGCCAAATAATTCAACATTTTGCGGAGCTTCATACGGAGTGTCATTTCCTCTGGCTCCTGCTTGTATTTGAAGTGGTAGTTAAAGATGACGTCAAAGTGCGCATAGTTTGTGGGGCGTGGAAGGGACAGGTAGTCGCAAACGCGGGTGTACAAGCACTCCATGCGGTTGAGACCATCCTTTGGAATTCCAGGGCTGCAAAAGTGGTGGTGAACCGCATCCAGCAGCACCTGAGTTTCTGTTGTGTAGGAGTCATCTAAGCGAGCCAAATTCATAGTGAGACCAATGAGTTGGATGAACTCGCCAAGAGACCAGTTCGTTATACTCTGAGTGCTCGTAAAGCTAATCTGGGTCATCTTCAGCATGACAGCCGCCATCGCCAAGACGCACGCGCAGAGCCAAAGCAGAAGGAAGATCACCGCCCTGAGGTAATCCGCGAGAGACATGGCGCGTTGGAAAATAGGAAGGATCCGGTTGACGGCAAAGGCCGGCGAAACTATCGCCACGACGCGGAACGCAGAAAAGGTAGAGATCCTATTTGAAAGAGCAGCGATGTCACCAGCAAGCTTGGCGCCGACATTGCCACACAGCGTTGCCTGTACGATGACGACGAGAAGGAAGACCAACAAGGAGTAGACCACCAAAAATTCGGAGAAGAAGACAACCCCAGACATTGTCCGGGCCCAATCAAGAAAGTTCAGCGAGGTGGTTGTGCCGTGAAACACATTGATCGCCACAGTCACAGAGTTAGTGGCCACCATGAGGACCATCTTAAGAATATGGAACAGCTCCATGGCATCAATGTTGCCCTCAAACATGCCAGGGAAGAGGTAACCCAAGCAAGCCTGATCCCACAACGAAATAATATACGGTCTATTGATCTCTCTCAAATATCGCTGCTGCTCAAGAGAACGACCAAGATGCTTGGCCGGGTATCTTTGGGAGGGCGCAGGGGGGCGGCGCTCTCCAGCCCCGCCGTCGAGTCCAGTGATGGCACGCGTCTGAAGCACCTTTGAGGTAGGCGACGACCGCTCTTCCAGCGGAGCTCCCTCCTTGGGCGCGACGTAATAGGAAAACGGGGGAACTGAATAGACGCTTAGCCGCTCCTCTGCGGGCCCAGCGTCGGGTAACGGCTCCGAAGTTTCATCATTCATCCGTGCAGCAGCCAAAATGGTATACAACGCACCAGAGATGTGTGCCTTTCCTTCGCTTTAGAAAGACGCATACCCACTTAGCTGCGCAACAGCAATATATATAGGCGGAAGGCAGGTAAAAGAAGGCGTCAAATTTACAAGCAAAAAACAAAAACAAAGAAGGGGGGGAAACCGACAATTTAGAGGACAAACCCATCAACACCTCAAAGGCGTGAAGTAAACAACACTCACAGGCAGACAAGGCAAAAAATAATAATAATAACAAAATAAAAAAAAAGAAGAGGAAAGGGAATTAGTGCTTCAGTCCACTCCCGTCTCATTCAGCGCAACCAAGTGAAGGCCAACCCATGTTCAACAAATGTAAGCAAATTACATCTCAGGAATAGCCTTAAAGATGTAAGCATTCGGTTTTCGCTTCTGAATCTGCACAGCTGCATTAATCACGTCAGGCCAGCGAACTTCTCGCTCCGTGCGGCGCTGCATAAAACGGAGGGGTTGAAACCCAGCAAAGTTGCCTGTGCGCGTGTAATGGCTTTCGTAGAACCATTTCACCGGGCGAGATTGTATGCGGCGCTGCTTGCGGTAGTCCGCGTCCGGCGTGTCTGGGACGTGCTCTTGATATTGTTCCTGCGACGGCGTGTTTTCTATTCCCCACTCCATGTTGGGGGCCCAAAAACGAAAATCCGCCCATTCTTCCTTCCAGTACCATGCCCGCATTTCTGACATCTTTGCAGAGCGAAGCGTGCCATCTGGTTGACGAATGACAAATCTGCGGCGCTTTTCGTTGGTAGGGTCGAGTTCCAGCTTTTTCAACGCCTCGTGCCCCACATTCACGCCAATCTCAGCAAACATCCAATTGTGCTCGGACTTATTGGCATGCTGACGATGTGGCCCTGCCCAAACTGGCATTTGCCCGTATTGCTGCACCGGCTCCCCGCTCTTTCCAATCATCTCGGGAAACATGCGGCGATAGACGTCGTAGTTATCACCCCAATAGTCTTCGTAGTCTTGCTCAGTTTGTAGGAATCGATAGGGATCGTCCATTTCCCAGACATTAGCGTAACTTGCCTCACGACGATTCACCAAGTCCCGAAAGAGAAACCGATCACTGTAAAACGTAATCTTTTGTTCCGCAAAACGCATTTTCCCGTAAAATAATCCGTGTTTACGAGCCCTAACATCTCGAATCCATTCCAGCGCAAAAAGACGCTTGGGCAGAGTCCAATCAGGCTCCACACAGGCATCATAACACGCCTTAAAATGATGCCACACAAGTATTTTGCGAACCAGTGTAAAATCTAGCCCATACATCTTTGACAGACGCTCTGGCGGCCAACGCTCAGGCGCCTTGCTCCAAAGCGCGAAAAGCTCAGGACCCAATTCATCACGAACCTTGTAATCTTCATTGATCTCGTAGCGAAGTCGCTTCGACATATCGAAAAACTCTGGTGTCCCCAAACTCGTCTGAAACGCAATCCGACGTTGCAACTGCTCCTTATTATGGGGAGAGTTCTGGGTCAAGGCCTCCAACCAGAGTATATCAACTGGTGACATCACCGCTAAAAGTGGACGAATTCGTCTATCAAAGTGCTCCCGTAATCTCTGCATGCCTTCTTCGTCGAGCGACTTAAACCATTCGTTAAGAAATTGAATGTAGTCGCTAAACGTACAAGGGTAGCCTGCGTCGCGATCACCAAACTCCAACGTCCTCCATCTCTCTTTGATGATGTTGCCTAAAATCTCATCGTCCAGGACAGTTTCCCCCTTCTTGCCGGAAGAAAAGAGGTGTTTTCGATTTCTATAAATTGCTATTTTCTCCGCGTTTGTTCGACTTGGAAGCTTTAGCAACTCTACTGAGAGAATATTCTGCAGATACCAGGCACCAAAAGGATTTGCCCACCACGGAATATCGTAGCGTCGATTCTTGAGAGACTGGGGCATGTCCATGAAGGGCTGCAAGGCCTCATCCATATCCTCAGAGCGTGCCCGACCCTGCCACAGATCCCATTGGGGGGCATCAAAAGATTTCATGGTACTTAGGTCCTTTGTCCACACCTTTGGATCACGCCAGTGGATTGGCTTGGGAGGATCTGTCAACACATGATGCTTCCATGATTTTCGCTCACGAGGACCACGCTTGTTAAACGGGTACCGGCGGTGAATCAAACCACGACGAAGCATAACGAGCTTACTCTTCCTTGTTTTTATTTTCTTTTTTTCCCAATGTACCGCCAAAAATATGTAAATGTTTGCCTGGTTGGCGCGTTATGTTTTTTTTCACCCTTTTCACTCCTTGCTGCCACAGAACCCTCGCCCCCCACCCAATGCACGCATATGAAGTGTTGTGCGTGTAAAATGTGCGCCCAACGTGGGACACACGTGAAAAGGAAAATAATGAAACAAAACAAGAAAACAGAAAACTATAGAGAAAACATCGCAAAAATAAAAGGGTTCCATCTCATGGTTTTTTTTCCTTCTTTTTCCGGCTTTGACCTTTTCTCAGTGTCAGTCCAAGTCAACATCAAGAGCAAATTCCGCTCAAAGTTGCTCTCACTGCCCGAATTGCCCACCTCCTCTCCCTCCGCTTTCTAAATGTAGATACATATCTGGAACTAGAGGGAGATAGTTGAAAACAGTGTGGCAGAAAGGAAAATCCGCTTCCTTCCTTTTTTTTCCTTCCATTTTATTCCGCCCCTCTAAGCATCCCCCACCCAAAAGGTGAGGAGAAATGCAGGTCCAGATGCAGCAGCCGGTGACGGAGATGGGAAACTGGATGAGAACAAATCAGCTTTGCCACATCTGGGACAGAGTCCACTGACTCAGGTTCCATCTGGCAAAAAGAGTAATAAAAAGCGTTACTACTATAATGATGGGTACAGGGTACACCAGTTTTTGTTGCTGTGTCAACATTGGAAGCTCCAAGTAGCCAAGAAACACTATATATGCGTACAGCACACATCCAACCATGTACAAGCAATTGCTAACCAGACACGCCAGAAAGGACGGCTGAAGGAGCAGGGGTAAGAGCATAAATTGGATTACTCTTGTCCAGACAAAATAGGGGAAAAAACCGTTGCAGTGAATGTCAAACGCGTAATGCCAATCCACCTCCCGCGACACCTCATGCAAGTGTCCACCGGTACTCAGCAGAAACTGATTCGCAAACACCCAGGTAATCGTGGCCATAATCACACCTACAACTAGGTAAGTCACTCCCACTTCGTATAGCACATTGTAAAGAATCTGCAACAGACCACCTTTTAGTGCCAAACCGTAAGCCACAACTGTAATGACTAGAGCCAGTACTTGAAGAACAATGAAGGCAGGATCATCGCGATGATAATGATTTTTTGTCATCTTGCGTGCCTTACTCATTTTGCTAACTAGTGAGGGCTTCAAGCAGAGTGAGTACATCTGCGACAAGGCCGAATCCAGCTCCATCTGATCTACCTGAAGAGCCCGACTTGCGAATTCCGGCAGGTGGGACACCCACCTTGAGGAACGACCTAGTCGAGGTATCATTGGATCTAACTACTTCCCCCGAATGCTTTTACCTTCCAACGTCAAACTACAACACACTGGCTTCAAAAAAAAAATAATAATAATAAAAAAAGGTTCCACTAATATCCATTAAGGTAAAATAAACAAGGACAATAAAAATAAAAAGAAGAAAAACCAACTGAAAAGTTTATATGTGAAAAACAACCAGCCCATACAGCCGTTGGACTCCAACCGTCAGAGAAAGAAAGTCGTTTATATATACATTCGAACTATTCACTCCTTGATCGCCCTTTTCTTCCCCCCTTCTTGCCCTTTGGCCTCCAGTAGATACACTAAGGCCTTGTCAAGAAGAAAAGAAACATAGGCCAATAAAAATAAATAAATAAATGACATCATCTTCAGTTTACATCTCTTCTGTAGAAGCAACAGTACAGTTAAAGCTCTTCTTGTAGAAGGTGCTGTCATAGCGATAGTGTCCTGGACCAGGATTGCCAACTCCATCGCCGGACTTAAACCTTCCATCAGTTCCCCATGTACCGTTTAAGGATCGTCCCCCGCCCAACAAATCTTTGTTAGAGATATCATACTGGCCAGGGCCAGGAAAGACATTTAAGGCCTTTTTCTCAAAACGAGGGGCAATACCCAAATATGAACCACTTGTACAAGTAGGTTTCGTCCAATCATACTTGACGTCATAAACACGACCTGGGGAAACAGATCTAGAATCCGTTTTTGCCGCGGCGTCAAGGGAATCATCTAGCAATCTAGAAGGATGAATACGACGTGGCACACGTACAAGAGGACGACGAGATTCAACAAATCCTTCGGCATCAGCGCGTTGTGGTGAAGGAATTCTTTGGGAACGGGAACGAAAAGGCACAGAAGCCAAATTGTGTTTTCGCAACTTAATGGGCATTACGGGCTCATACGCCCCAGGACCGAGGTTCGTTCCAAAAGGTAGTCTTTTGCGGCTTGTTTCGGAGACAAACGAGGATGTTCCCTTCGTTTTGGGGGGCATTTTTGGACGACGCGGTGCAATTTCTCCTGTGTAAGTGCCTGGACCCGGCAAATCTGTAGGCCCATAGGGTGCATAACGAGGCGCTGAAGAACCGAAAGCTGAAAAAAATTCAGGGTTTGCGGCGCGATATTGTTCTAAGGATTGAAAATAAGAAGGCACATCATAAGTCCCAGGCCCTGGAGTCCGGACGTTGCCTCCAAAGGTTGAGCGCAAAGTTTTCGTTGCAAACATTGAACTTGGTTTATTAGTATAAAGCGACTTTGCAGAAGCTGCAACGCCATAATGTCCCGGTCCTGGTACATCATTAAAGCGAGGGTTGCCACGACCACTATAACCAGCAAAATTCGCGGCGCGTGGATGTGCACGATGACCCGAAGCATAATTCGGGTTATATGAACCTGGACCGACAACAAGTGGGTCCTCAACATCATTAAAACGACCAGCTCCGATGGTATGGGCGCGCCCAGTTCGACCCCACCTATTTCCATCGTGAGGATATGTCCCGGGACCAGGAACTTCGTCGGTGCGGGGAGCAAAAAAACGGTCCACTGAGGAAACAAATGGAACCACAGTAATGTCTCCACTTCGAAAATCATTCATAGTCACTTCATAGGTCCCAACTCCAGGCGTTAAAGCGCCAAGGTGCGACGAAAACCTCTCGCTTGTAATGCCAAACGGAGCCTCGCCATGAATGGGCTTGGAATAAGTGAATGTGACGTTATAAGACCCTGGTCCAACCCCCGACCCTGTAGCACCACTCGTATAAAGGCCTGGTAATTTCGCGCGAAAAAGGGGCAATTCTTCCTCAACCTTCTCCATTGCCCTATTTTTATTATTAATACTTTTGGTTATTATCTATACCCCTTGCGTGGAACCCCCCAACAACACCTACTTTTCACGAAAAAATCTGTGTTTATCCTCTAGAGAAACACACAAATGTACCCCAAAAAAATAATAAAAAAATAAAAATAAAATGATACAGAAAGAATAGTAATAAAAAAAAGAATCACAAAAAAAGAGAGAAAGATAAACGAATTTAAAAAAAATACAACAAATCGATGAAATTGAATATTCTATCAATTGTTTAGTGTCATTCGCTCCTGTGTCTCTCTTTAATTTGTTTATACAGGTAAAGTATGAGAAAAGGGAAATGAGTAAAACGGCAAAGGTATCACCTAAGCACGGTATCAGATGTTATAGAAAAACGTGAACAAAATGAAAACAAATAGCAGTATTGTCCACGTCATATACGCTGCCAAAGGGCGAAAAGATCTTCTCTTAAAGGGGCGTGACGCACAACCCGGACACAAAGTTGTTCTTGATGTTGACGAAGTATAAAAAACAGCATTTGCCGGAATGTACGAATAACACTCTGAACAGTAGCAAGTCAAATCAGACTGAGAATTTTCCGTCCTAACAAGTTTTTTGCCGTCCCGACCATAAGGATTGGAACGACAGCAAACACCATAAACCTCTTCACAGAAAACACATTCCCACACAGCGGACTCTTCAGGATGATTTATGCAGGTAAACTTACTCGAAGAAAGCAACCACATTTTATGTCCTCTACTACAAGTGGGTATCCATGCAGAATAATAACTTTCAAGAAGTTTCTCAAGAACAAAGTCCAAAAATTTCGTTGCATTAACTAGAAATGGAAATTCATTGCCCATACTCGTCTCTGTATTAAGATGCTGTGTGCCTGGAAGAGGATCATTTTCAGTGGAAAAACGTAGATTCAACGGCCCAGAAAACCCGCAAGAACGCCGAATCCCCTTAAAGAACAGTTCTTTTTCCTCACTTTTATTTGATCGTGCCTTTATCTCATTAGATACCGATGAAGCACGAACGTATCCATTTGACTTACGGCAAGACGCGCGCACCTCTCGAGATTTCTCCACCACGGAATGCAAGCCTTCAAACGCATTCAAAAGGAAATCACGAGAATGTTTCAATGGAACTGTCACCAAAGGGTCCAAATCACCCTTGTCTACCCGTTCTTCAACCGCTAGACACACCTCCGCCGCTAAATCAAGAATTTCTGTCCCAAAAACGTTGATAACATGCACCGCTCCATCTTCATCTGACCAATTCAAAGTAAAGTATTGAGTTATCGTTTCTATAATATTCAATCGCGAGGAGGCATCAGTGTTGTTCACTTCGCGAAATACATTTCTTACCGAATGCATAGAAAAAACCTCAAAGCATCGCAAAAGCATGGAGGCTCCTGCAAAATCAATAGAGGTCAAGAAATTACTTTTCAACAGCATGGAAAAAACATCAATAAGAAAAAAGCTATAAATTTCAAAATGATGAACAACATAGCTTTCCCGCACCTCTTTACTTTCATTTGGTTTAAGCAACAAATACCAAAGTTCAAGTGAATTATTAAAATGTTCCCTTCTACATTCCCTAAAATTGAACAGAGAAATCAAAGATTGACGAAGAGCAATCAATGTGTTTCGGTAAAAGGAAATGTTGGAAAAAAGCACATCCCGGGACGACGGAACTAAAGCATCCACACAAATTTCTTTCTGAGGCATAACAAAATAATTTGATGTCGTTGCAAAAGACTTTTCGGTGTCATTTTGTTTAAGCGCAAGAACACACTCAGTCAAAAACGGAATTATTTTAAATACAAGTGCTCCGGAAACAACCTCTCTACAGGGTGTTCTATAAATCTCAAGTTCCGGCTGACGAAGACCTCTCATACATAGAAAAGTTGGGGCAGAAAGAAGCAATGCAGCCACCACATCCGATGTTGACCACTGAACATCCTCCAATGCACGTTTTGAACTAACGCGCTCAATAAACGAAATGGACACAAAATACTGAATATACGCCGTCAATAGTCGATGATATAATGGAAGTTCTGTACAGGGAGAATCGCGAAAATAATTCATTAATGTGGTAAACCATGCGCCAACCCTCTTGCTTGCCGTATCTAAAGGTAGAAGACAAACCATTTCAACGCCACTTTGTTCGGCTTTGCGTATTAGGTAAAAGATCATTCTTAAAATGAAGTAAGCAAGTGGAGAACATGGAAGTGAAGTCAATACTTGTCCATGGTCAGACTCAAAACGAGTTACTAGAGGTGGATTCCAAAATGGAATAAGAAACATGGGCGGGCAACGAGATCGAGGCAGAGTATACCAATTTGTATCAGCCGGTTCCGCTAATAATTCATACGACGACGCATATAACGCTGACATGGGCATATCAAAGTAATAAAAGGGAAATTTGACATCCGATTCTCCACCAAGATTCTCCTTCCAAGAGCTTTTCAAGCATGCCGCGAAGTTATTTGGAGGGAGAGATACAGCTTCCAGTAAATTGCACAAATGCCCACCCGGGGCCAAAAGCCTAAAAAGTGCCAAAGCTACTTTTCCGTTTGGTTTGGAATTTCCGATGTCCATCCAAGATAATTCATTCGCTCCAGTACCTCGTGCTCTGCTCCCATAGCCTGCAAATGTCAAGTCACATAAATTTAGAAACCCTCCCTTTTCAAAGAATGTGTCCAAAACCACCTTGGTTTCATAATGCAACGGTTGAATTGGATAATTCACGTGCCGAAAAAACGTTTCCAAAGAAGCAATTTGCTTCTCTATACCCATTTTTTGTTTGTTTCTTTGTCTTTAATTTTTCTAACAATAAAAAAATGAACAAAAACAAACTAACAACAGGGCAAATAAGACGCAAATGAGAAGTTGAAAAAAAAACGACAAAAACAGAGCGCAAGACACAACCACACACACACACACACACACTCACACAGCAAAACGAGCCATCGCAAATGAGCCCCACCGCCGCTCGAAACACACCCCAGCACTATCTCCAGGCACGCGCGTGCTAAAAACAAAAAAAGCCGCGGCCGCCCAAGTGGCAACTAGGAGAAGAAAACGGCAAGGACCCCGGGCGGGGTCCGAACAAAAAAAAAAAATAAAATAAACAAACAAACACGGCAGGCGCCGGCCCGCGCCCGTCAACAAAACCTTTGGCCGCCCGTCGCCGTCCCCGGGGGTTTTCCGCCGGCGCCGCCGCCGTCGTGGCGCGCCGACTTGCGGCACCCTTCCGCGCTTTCGGCTCGTGGCTGCTTGTATCTTTGCTTGGGCTTTGGCGTTTGTTGCCCTGCTTTTTCATGCTTGTGTTTCGTCGTTGGGCCGGCACTTTTTTTTGCCGGGCGGCTTTGGTGAGGCAAAGTCGTTTATTTTCCTTCGGTTGTGTTAATCGGAAGTAATTTATAGTTTTTTTCTCCTCCCTCACCCCATCCTTTCTTTTTGAAACTGTTACTGTCGTGGCGCCATGCTTGCGGCCTTGATTACCTCTATTTTTACTTGATGGCGTTCTTTCTTCTTGTGTTTCCTATATATATATATTGTACAAAAGAAGGATAGGAGTAATCTTTTGTTAGAATTAATTTTCTTGAATGGCATCGAAGGCAGCATACTTCCAGGCTGATGTTTTGGAGTGGCTTTTCACAAATAAAGCCCTTTTAACTCGGCTTCGAAGGGAAAGATATGCGTTGGAGAAAGGTTTCCTGGGGTATTTTTACGACTGCAGAGATATGATGCGGGAAATCAGAGGAACGGAAACGAAGGATGCCGACAAAAAATTGGAAACTGCTCAGGAATCAACTGGATCTCGTTCTATGAATCAGTTTTACGAGTCAGAAGAACTGGCTAAACGCATGAAATGGAAGCGCGTAACCTGGGATGATGATGCTGACTATACCGGTTTTTCACGTCGGCTTTTGGAAAATGACGGCTTGTTGAAAAATGTGCCGGCATTTTCATACCTGTCTATTCACGTTACAAGTGATCCTGCTTCTACACCGTTTGTGAACTTTCCAGTTGGTGAAAAAACTGTTGAATTGGGGACCCTGACTAACTGGGTTCTTCAAGAACGAGATCCCATATCTGTTGATAAATACTTACCTACTAAGAAAAATAAACTGCGTGGGGCATTTACTGTGGATTGGACTGCTGGTGAAGTCAAGGTAATTGACACAGCATCTGTTCAAGAAATTTTAACATTTCTGCATACAGTTGCACCACGTCTTCAGGCTGTTCAGATTCACATGGAAGAACAGCAGACAGCCTTAGTAGATAATGTTCAAAATGCAAAGATTCGTGTTGGAGCCGAGGTTAAGTTTAATGACCATGATACTGCCTTTTGGGATGACCCGAAGCGCAAGGGCAATCCTGATTACGTTACCCCTGACGACGTAGAAAAATTTCTTAAGGGTCTGTTGGATTCGGCTTTTCTCTATCGTTGGTTTCTGAGGGGTCAAGGCCTGCGAGTTGTTCCGCCTGGTAAGCCCTACTTTATTGATCTCGAAAAGAGAGAAATCCAAATCCCCGCAAATTTTGCAGAATTTAATTGGCGTGCCGCACATAAGCGGTTTGAAAAAGTTGAACGCATTTTTTCCACAATGAGGACACTTTGGTGGTTATGGTTTTCTCTAGCAATGGTGATAATAGGAGACGTAGAAATTTTTTGATACAGCTAAAGCTACCTATGACGATGAGAAATCTCTTACTGAAACTGGTGAAGGTAGGGAAGGGGATAATTTCCTCTTTTACTCACATATTTGTCGTGAATACATCAATATAACAACATAAACGATAATAAGTGTCGTTTTTATTTACTATTAATTGAACAATATCGTAATGTATAGCAAGTCTTTTTTGCTGTTGTTGTTGTTGTTTTTTTTTCTTTTCTTGAGGGGGTTTGTCGCCTCTCTTTTCTCTTATATTTGTTTAAATGCATTCATTCCCCCCTCCTTTTTTTCCCACCCCCTCATTGTTTTGTAGACTTCCTTATATATACAAATATATTAGGTAAATACTTATCTTTTAATAGACTGAGGAAAAGGAATATGTCACGCGCTGCTCTGATGAAGGAGGCCTTCGAGCTTCTTCAAAGGGATGGGAAAATACCCAAAGCCTCTGTTCCAACCGCACTTCGGGCGGCGGGTTTAAATCCCAGTGAGGAAAGACTTAAAGAAATCATGAATACTGTAACTGAGCTTGATATGGCTGCTTATGAGGCGCTTGTTCAAAAGCATGATGATAAGACAGATTCTCCAGAAGCTGTAAAGGAGGCATTCCGGGTCTTTGACAAGGACCTAGATGGTACTGTTTCTGTTGCCGAATTTCGCCACATTATGACAACAATGGGAGAGAAATATACAGAAGAAGAATTTCGGGATTTGATTCAAGGCTTCGAGGAGAATGGCGTTATTCATTATGAGAAGTTTGTGGACAAAATGTTAGCTCCTTTTACCGATCATGGCAACGCGGAGGATGTGATATAGATACTGATAAGATCAGCATTGCTTCTATACATGTATATATCTGTTTTTGTCTGGTCTTTTCTGCTTTATTTCATATATATATATATATACACATTTGGGCAGTTCAAGCCCTTGTTTTTTTTTGTTTGTCTGTTGTTTTCAGCAGCTCCCTTTGCTAAACAAATTACTTACTTGTATTTGGCTTGTTATCCCCCCCCTCCCTTCTCTCTTTTCATTTTTTTCCTTGAATTTAGGTGATTAAGAAGGTGCTTTTTCTTCGCGTTTCTTGCACTCACTCTGGCTCCCGCAAACCCAAGCTAAAAAGTTAAGGGAAAAATGGTGAAGGTAAAAACTATCAGTCGATCGAATTTGGAATGGACCAAGGATCGAAATGGTGAAGTTCCACGTGTGAATCGTAATTTTGATACAAAGTACAATCCAATGGCAAAACAAACTGAGTTTACACGTGCCATTCGTGCAGCAAAGCTTGATCGCATGTTCGCAAAACCATTTGTTGGCGCTCTTCCTGGTCATCAAGATACTATTCAATCTCTTGCTGTGGATTACACTAGTTTGTCTACCGTGGTCAGTGGAGCGTTTGATGGAGGCATGATAGTATGGGATATTTTTACAAAGCGCCCAAAAGCAATTATTGATGCACATCGACATTCGGTTGATGGACTTGTTATTTCCACAGATGGTGTTGCGTGTTTTAGTGCTTCCCGTGATAAAGTTGTTAAAATGTGGGATTTGGATTTTTCTTCGGATGATGCCAAGGTCGAACCGTTGGCTGAATACCTCGGAGATTTTCCTTTTTCATCCATTGATCATCACTTTCAGAAATCGCTATTTGTGACGTCTTCTGATGTTGTACAGCTATGGGACGTTAACAGAACGCAACCTATCCAACGCTTTTCCTGGGGCGATGACACAGTCTCTTGTTGTCGATTTAACAAGGTGGAAACAGACTTGGTTGCTTGTTGTATGTCAGATCGCGGTGTGTTTATATATGATTCAAGAACCCAAGCATCACATTCTAAAATTATTTTGGAGATGTGTTGTACGAGTCTCGCATGGAATCCTATGGATCCAAATACATTTGTAACTGGCTCGGATGATCGAAACTGTTATTTGTTTGATGTGCGAGTTCCCGGACGCCCCAAAAGTGTCTTTCAGGGACATATTAATGGTGTAACTTCTGTTGATTTTTGTCCCACTGGGAAGAAATTTGTTGCTGGATCGTTGGATTCCACACTTCGAATGTGGGATATTCATCAAACTACGAAATCGAATTCAATTGAGATGTATCATACGAAACGTATGGCCAAAGTTTTCTCGGTCAAGTGGTCCCCTGATAGTAGCTATATATACAGCGGAAGTGAAGATGCCATTCTTCGGGTGTGGAAAGCGGATGCAAGCAAGCCGATTCGTCCATTACGAGGCCCTGAACGGAATAGTTTTAATTACATGCGCTCTTTAAAAGATAAGTATTCTGGATTCGTGGAAGTGAAAAGAATTTCTAATCAACGAAATACTCCCAAGGCAATTAGCAGAACACAGCGACGAGCCAAAAAGGCTGAGAAGCGTGAGTTCATCAAGGAGGTATCCCGAAGAAAACATGATGATATCAAGCCTTTTGCCCAACGTAAGGTTTATCAGTCTCTTAAGTAAAGGTGTGTACTTTTTTTTTTTATGCTATGTGGCGGTTTTTTCGTTTAATAAATGATAGAGTGACAACAAATTTTTCTGCTATTGCCCCTTTCATATTTGTTGTTACTGCTTCAGCTTCAGAAACTTACTATATGTTAATGCATGCTCTTCCTTCACCTTATCCTTCCTTTGTTTTGAATTGCTTGCATTGCTGGGTGTATACTTATACCGTTTATTTTTTTTATGCCCGCGT